TCTGAAAAAGAATTAATCATGCATAGTCATGGTTCAAATATAAGGCATATTAAAATACTGCTAAGAGGTAAAGAGAATACATTTGATCTTGATTTTGGATACATTCCACTTCAAGTGGTCCAGAGGGTGACTTCTAAATAGCATATTATGTGGCCATATAATTGAATAATTTATATAGTTCTAATAATGTAAATGCAGATTTTTTTCTATAATTTAAAATAGTTTAACCAAAATATGTGTACTTCTTTCAAATAAGTAAAATAACGTAGAACTTACACTAAAAAGCAAGTTTTTACCCCATGTCACTCTTTTCCACCTTCATACTCTAAAAGCAATAATACTTAACTATTTTTTGTTCTAGATCTTCTAGTCACTATTTCCATGCTTCTAAATAATATGCTTGTATAGTTAGATTTATCAACTTTAGAAGTGATTTGTTGACTTTCTGCAAAGATAATTAAGAATTTATCTTACTTATCTTCCAAAACCCTGCTTATCTTCCCTCTCAGAATCACACGTCATTATTTTTACTTCGTCTATTTCTTACCTTATTGCTTTAAAGAATATTTAAACCTTTGTCTCTTGTTCCATCATGCTAGCATAGATCACTTGACGACTCCTTACATATAGTAAGGATATAAATATCCCTATCCTTCTCTTCACATACCTTCCAAATATTCAAATCCCCAAATTCCATCACCTCTACTTGTCAATATTCACTTGGAGTTTTTCGAATATCCTGAATACAAGTCCTTTATTGAATATATGTATTGTGAGTATCATCTCCCAGGGTGCCTCACTGCTCTCTTAATGGTGTTTTTGTTAAGTCTTTAATTTCATAAAATCCAGTGTATCACTTGTTCTTTACAGTTAGTGTTGTCCGTGTCCATCTAGGAAATGTTTATCTAGAAGGCAGTGTCCTCAAGATGGTATCAAAGGTCATACCTGATTTCACTCCACCTCACAAGAAGATCAACTAAAGTCTCCATAGACAACACCCTTGTGAAAATACCAGAGCCCAGGAGTGAGGCTGAAGCACCGCCCCCCCTCCCCCAAGACTGCAAAGACCAAGAAGGACGGTATTAGAAGGGTCAGAAAAGCTTTTCACTTTCGCCTCTCCCCAAGGTCATCACTGTGCGGCACTAAAAGGGCCCCTTGGGCCTATGGATTCTTCAGTGGGAAGAGAAGGTGCAAGGGAGACATGCAGCTTCCCCAACACTGCAGGTTTCCTGTGAGGGGCACTCAGATCTTGCCTCACGGGGATCACTGGCGGAATCTGCAGGGCTCAGCCACTGGGGTTAGACAGAGACAGAGAAAAGGAGGGGCAGGGCTGACGGCAACCTGTGCTTTGATCTCAGCAGTTTGCCCTACTGCCGATACAAGCGCCTAAGCAGAGATCTCGCGGGTTCACCGAGGGCGCAGGGAGGAAACGCGGAAGAAGGGCTTAATCCCGGGCGACACCGGAAACGCGAGGACGGACGCCCAACAGGGGCTTCAGAGAAACGACACGTCCTAAGGGGAGCTGGGGATGGCGCGGACCTCCAGGACACGGGACCTTCAGCAACGGAACCAGGAGAGCCTCCTATCAGAGGCCCCAGAGGCAGGCCCATCCGGAGCGGTAGCGGCCGAGGGGTGGGGACACTATTCCCATCAGCTGCCAATCGCCGCCGGCCCAGAACCCGCTTGTGCCCTTGGTAACACCGCAGACGGAAATGACGCAATGCTAGTTCCGCTTCGTTGGACCGGTTCGGCCCCGTTGGCTCGGCCCCGCCCCTCGGCTGCGAGTTTTCAGCCCCGCCCTCCCGCTTGAAGCAACGCAAACGTGGTTGGATGTGTCGGAGGCTCCCACCGCGTTTGTCGGTGGCTTCCAGACAAAGGGTTTTGGAAGGGAAACCGAAGTGACTTTCTGCGAAATTGTGCTCAATACGTTATAAAGCCCGACTACTTCAACCAAGGACTTTAAAGATGTTGGAGAAATGTGGTGAATTCCTTTCTATTGAATTAATATATTCGTTTGTAAATAAAATAACCGGACCCTCCTAGCGATTTGACAGAGCCTGCGCGGGATCAAAGAATAAGTGACAGGTGACTGCAGCCCAATGCTATTTCTAAACTTAAGTTCTTCAGTTGATAAAACCTAAACCAGTTTTTAAGTGAAAACAGGTGACTTCTTAATTGAATTCCCAGGTAACTTTACACAAATACTGCAGATCTAAAGTAAGTTTGATTTGCTCGAATTCTGAATAACTCAGACTTGGCAATGCTTTAGTTTGTCACTTATTGCTATGCCAAATAATCTTGTTCAGAAACTGCCCGGTTCTGCTGTTTCCCTCCTATGGTCATATATGTATTACAATTAGTTTGTAAGGAAGATTAACGTCTAGGAGAAAACACCTGAAGAAAATGTTCTCTGTGTAATACAGAATTGTACAGAAGAACTTGCCTAAAGGCTAATTCATTGACTCACTGAGCTTTCAGAGTTCTCTAAAATCGTTATCACAAACCAAAGTAAGCAGGAGGTGTGAGCTTTAGTTCCCTTTCGTGTAGTTACTTGATGCATTAATACATAGTAGCTCTGAAAAATAAACTATAAACTATAGTCATGGAAATAGTATGTGTACTTGTACTTTCTGTTTATATATTACTTTAAAAATACGCCCTACATATTTTTAATGAAGTGCCAGTCTGAATTACTAAAAAAAAAAAAAGATTATGATGGTTACTGTTTGAGCATGTATTATTTTACCTTTAACCTGATCCAGAAGAATTCAGTAATTTCTTAGTAAAAGGCTCAGACCTTTTTTCTGCTGCACTAATAATACATGTAAAACTATAATTTTTAAAAAAGAGAAAGTATCTTTAAAGTATCCACAAAGGATCAGTAAGGCTAAAAACCATCAGGTTTTCTATTTCTTTCTTTATATGCACCTGCTTAAATCTAGGAAGAGTTTACTAGGAAACAGAACTCAGAGAAACTTCTGGGTGGTTTTGCAAAAATATTTCCTTCCTTTCTATTTGGTGTCAGATGGGATAGCTGTGTAAATCTAAATTGTGTCTTACACTTAACATACACTCTAGAGTTTTCAGAGGGAACAGAAAACTTTCATTGCAGCAACCAGAACAGAATCTTGCCATAACATTCTCCCCAAAACTATTGCATGTCACCCCAAACTATTCCAAATCAGGGAATCACTTGGTGAATCACCCCAATTTTAAATGACAAGAACGTGGGCAGAAGACAAGCCATTTTCCTTGGAGGACTCACTTAGCCCACCCAGGTGACAAGTCCCTGTTTCATAGCTGCCATGTTAGTGGTACTAGTGACATAGGTGGCTTATAGAGGGTTCTGGTTACTCTTTGGGGAGGAGAGAGTTAAGGGGGTGGCGTGGGGTGTGAAGGGGAAACAGTCTTCATATTTCTCTAGCTGGTTCATTGTCATCTGAAGAATGTTACTTCTTGCTGTCTGCTGGTTCACATTAAAGATGTGGATAAAAACCCTTAGAAATCATAGAGAGAGGCTTATGCTCTGCCTGTTTAAAATATCCCCTTACTATATGCTTTGAACTGAATTAGCTGGAATTTGGTAAATGCATAACTTAACTGTAAGGCTCAGGTATTTGTCCCAAACCTCCTGGAGTGCGGGTGATCTTGCTACCTCATGCCCTTGAATCAAGCCTCGTGTCTCAGGTGGTCCTCAGTTCCCAGGCCCTCAGAGGGGTTGTGATATTATAAAGGATGTATCTGATCTTTGTCTCTGGTTCCTGGTACAGCGTTTCAAAAACCCTTAGAATTTCCTGAGTGACTTTTATGCTAATGAAGTATTCCTGGTGGGGCTCCTAGGTAGCTTCAGAATGAGGCTGGTCACCAACAAAGACCAAGCACATCCTTCGAGGACTGGGACGTTAGCTGTCCAAACACCTGGGAGGGGAAGGGAGCTGGAGATTAAGTTCAGTCACGTGGCCAGTGATTTAGTCACTCCTGGATGCCTAATGAGACTCCCTCAGAACTCTGGACATCAAAGCTCAGTGTGGCTTCCTGACTGATGTACATGAGGGTGACGTGTCCTGGCCCCCAGGGAGAGAGCATGGGCGCTTTGTGCTCCCTTCCAGGCCTTGCTTTATGGGTATCCTTTGAGATGAAACTGTAGTAGTGAAGTGTAGCATTTTCCTGGGTCTTGCGAGTTGTTCTAGAGAATTACTGAAGCTGGAGGGCATCGTGGATACCCTTGAATTTGTAGCCAGTTGGTCAGAAGTGTGGGTAGCCTGGGAACCTCACTTATGCCTGGTGTCTGTAAAGGCAG